AACATAAATATTTTTAATGAGACGTTTTTTGTTCTGAGAACTGTCCAGAACAGATGTAAAATTTTTAACCGAAAACGTTTTACATTACGTGTTGATACTCTATGGTGTTTCACTCTGGAAGTCTTGGGCGAAGCCATATGGGGACATAACTTGTTGAGTTTATGAATTCACATTGAATTTATATTTCGTTCATAGTAATTAATTTAAATGACTTCATAACATACACCTGTCCAAAATAAAATCATTTTTAATAGTTCTTGCTGTTTGGGATGATTAATAAAACAATCAATATCTTTTGATTTTTGTTTAATACAATAAATGTTTGCACACTTGCAACACTCATCAGTAAAAGTTGAAAAATATTTTTCTCCCTTGTAACTTGTTTTGTGTGCTCCATTTAAATTAGTATGTATGATTTCTAGAATTTCTTTCACCTTTTTTCTTTGATTCTCAAATTGTTCATTTGCCATTTTGCTTCCAATACGACTTTCATACTTCATTTTAATATTTTCTAGTTTATCTGGCATACCGTCAATGATTTAATTTTCAACTAATTTATTTAAACATTGAAGAATTACATGTCCAATTGCTCGGTGCCTTTACTCTTTATTTGTAAATATTTTTTTTTTTTTTTTTTTCAGTACTGTTAAAACATTTGTGAACATCTCAATTTGAAAACTCTAACATGTCCTGTTCTTTTAATTTTGACATTCTTTTATTGATATCAAATTTTTCTTCACTTAAACTCTCAACTAACGTATCAGCCATATTATTTTTTCAATTAATTTTGATTGCATGTATAATTCCATTTTAATAATTTTCATTTACGTGATGATCCAGTACTACTATGTACTTGAAATTTTCTGTAAAGTTTCCCTACTTAGCATTTGCAACTACTCCTGAAGTATCTTTATAAAAACTGATTGGATTTTCAATTTTTAATTTCTAAATTTCATTGAACGAATTCTTTATAAACAACATTTCAGTAACAGCTTTTGATAACGCTGTATGCTCTGGCTAGGATATAACCTACGACATCAAATTAGGTTAACAATTATATGTTAAGAAAAGAAAAAAAAGTTCAAGTTTGTTGATTGGCACGTTACAAATGATAATGTATTAAATATGATGTATACTAAAAAGATCACTAAGGCCCACGCAAATAAAAAATATATGCGATCTGCGAGTTGCATGATATAAAAATGTAATAGTAGCGGCCCTGTGACTTTATCCGAGATTTGTTGAGTGGAACACTGTATTGTGTTGACTCGTAATTCTAACTTTAAAAAATTTTGTTTGGAATTCATGCAGTTTTGGTTGAATAATAAGCTATAAAAGAGTTTAACAAATGTAATCATTCTGAAAAGTACCGTTCGTTCCTTACGCTACAAAATAGTTGTTGTCACTAAAGGCCCGTTGATTTGAACTTTTTCACATTACGATAAATAAAAAAGGCTGTTTGTAAAAACTGTAAGGATTTAAAACTGACAAAAAATAAAAAATCTTTTAATTTATTGCTAATAACTTATTCATTGATCTTAGTTGATAAACATGCATTAACTACAGAAGGAGTTTGGTTTTTATGATAAATATAAATTATAGACGATAAATTACAGGTAATCAAAAAAAAACTAAAATTTTTAACCTTAATAATTAAATTCTTTTAAGTATGTGGTGAATCAACCAAATTTATTTAAATATAACTATTTTATTGAAAAAAGTGTATTACCGCTAAACTCTACCGTTTCGTATAATTAATCAAACTCGCATTTAGTGACATAATTTTGTGCTCCAGAAAAAAAAAGAGATGACAGACGATTAAAACGTAAACTTATTTTTCAGTCTTTCTAACCGTGGGCCACAAGTGAAAGACGCAATCAAAAAATTTACTGATTTACGTATTGTTCAATAAAACAGTTGCTTTCAATAAATCGTGAGACACAGATGTAATAGTATCAATATAATCTGATCGATTTGATAGAAAACTCTCTTATAATTTCCTGGAGTGCTCTGTAAAATGAGAAATTATTTAATAAAAACAAATTTTTAAGTAACTTGTACATCACTTTTACGGTTTTCGTACGTATTTTCATAACAATAATTCATTGTAAAAATTACTTAGTTATTGAAAAACTGTAATTTGGGAAGTATGGATTCCATCAGTACATAAAAAAGATATAAGAATAAAAGCTAGTTAAATAGATGACACATTTGAGATTTTTGATGCGTATGATTACTAAGTATTTTGTCTAAAAATTTTGTTGCAAATAGTAATTTAATTCATGTAATTTGGTTTAGAAAAATATTGCTAAGAATTATACAATAAAGTAGTTTAATAAAAAGAAAAAAAAAAGAAAAAGCTTTATAGATAGAAATCCTGAAAACGTATTAAAAGAAAATTTTTTTCGGTTGATAAATTTATGAACTATTTGTACAAATTAACCTCCGCACACATTCATCTTATTCAAAACATCTTTATTTGAGCAACTTTGAGTAAAAATTTAATGGGACCATTGTAGACCACCGTATCAATCTAGTACAAACTTTGTATCTATTCAATACCTTCTAATATGATCGATATTTAATGTAATTAACTTTGTGAACTAAACATTTAAAAATGATACTTTCCTGAAAAGTTATGATATCCCCATAAAAATACCTTTTAACAAAATAAAAAGGTCAGGTAAGTTTGATGTATTGAGTTTATATTTTGTATGGAATTTTCGAAGCCTTTGTACACTATCAATGAATAGTATTCTCCCTAATGAATCTATAGCCTCGAAAAATTTTGAAATCAAAGTGTTAAAACGGTCAAGTTTTTTTTTTTTTTTTTTGGTGCAACATACATCTTGTATGACACTCGTAGTGTAATACTGTTTAGTACTGGTACCTTAACAAAATCAAATTAAGTAATATTGACCTTTCCCCGAACATTTTTATATACTTTCGACAGAGTACGGCATTAATGTATTTGATGTGACGTTTGCATGAAGTTCCAGTCAAAAGTCAATACCACTTAGTTTGATTTTTATAAAGATTGAATACTCAACAGTATTATACAACGAGTGTCATAAAAAATATGTGTTGCACCAAAAAAAAAAAAAAAAACATTACCGTTTTTACATTTTGATTTCCGAAATTTTCAAGGCTATGGATTTATTAGAAATAATACTATTGATTGCCAGTGTATAAAGGCTTAAAAAATTTTTCACAAAATTGTAACTTAATACATCAAACTTACTTAACGTTTTTTTTGTTTTTCTATCAGTGTATACTGCTAAAACCTGTTACCATACAAACGCTTAGAACATAACAATTGACTTATAATTCTTCGAATTTGAGCTTGATTAGATGATAAGCTAGCCGAATAACTTGTGTGGGTACAATGATGTACCCATTTTATGTTAAAAATATCTTGTAGAATTGTAAACCAGAAAAAGTATGAGACTGTAGTATGATAAAAAATAATTTAACTGAGCATTTTGATATTTTTTCCCCATAACTTATTCTTACACAAATCCATATTTTAAAAGATTTATTATAGTGAGACTGAAGCCTTTTAATTTATTATGTGATTGGTTAATAATAGCGTGATTGCGTGGTTTGTTTAGTAAAATATCAAGAAAATTACGTTAATGAAATCGCAACAATAATTAATATTAATAATGTGAATAAAATTTTGTGATCATCTGAGGCATTATTATTAAGATAACTTGTTTGTCCTTTTTATAAAAATGAGATCGAAAACTATTTGATTTAAGTTAATATTGGTTATGTTTGTACGAGATACACAATTATATTATAACTTTGTTTTGAAAATACGTCATTGATAACAACTTACTTACGAAAAATAGTACAGTTTTCATAAAAAATGTGCATCCAACCAGGGCAGTCCCAATGATCCCACGGGCGTTGCTTCGCTAGCACCCTTGGGCCCAGAGACCACACTGGAGAAATGCACATTTGTGATGAACACTATTGTTTTTACTGAGGTTATAGCAGCCGTTCGCTAATTTTAATTTGTTTTTAAATTGAATAAATATTTGAAAAATAAAAAAAAAATATTTTTGATTGATACAAATTTCATCCGAGTATGTACATTTGCAAGGACAAATCAATGAAAAAAAAAAACCTAAGCAAACAATTCGATGCTTAGGGCTATATATATCCACTTTCCTATTATGCGTACACTTGACATAAACTGACGTAAGCTTCTTGTCTGCTTGCCTATAACTACACAGTATTGATCGAATAAGGTTTCTTAAGGTAACTTTCATGATAGCGACAAGCGACAAAAAACAAAAAATTTTAATTACTAAAAATCTCGAGAATAATATTCTATGGGTATCAGTTTGCAATAACATAAATAGGAAAGTATTTTTGTACACAAATTCTACGTATTAAAAATATTACACTAAACTAAACATCATTGTCATCAAACTATTCGTAATTATGGTAAAGCTAAATTCTATGAATCAGTTTTTTTTAGTAATAAAAAAGTAGTAAAAATAAAAACGCAGTAGGTTAAAAATTCAATTATATTGTTGAAAAATGAGTAAAATTTTTTTTGATATTCTTCAATCATTTTTTAACTTATTTATTTACATACGAATTTCAGAAGATTCTACTTTTAACAAAACTGAAACTTTTTCAACACATCCATAAATATTATTTTCAGGGTAAATACTAAAAAAACAGGTTGATAAATTTAAGTATAAAAGCCTTGTATAAAAAAGTTTGTAAAATCAAATTTCATTCGTCAAATCCAGTGGTGCGTCTGACGGTACTATATTCATGACCCTCAATGTTTGAAGCTTACTAATAAGAAAAGTTGTGTACTGTGACCAAGCAATGAAAAAATAGGATTTTCAATTTCGCGGGCCGTACGCATGGTTCAATAGTGTGTACATATCATTGAAACCTGAACTCTTACTCAAAGTCTTTGCTCTTGCTGCTTTCCTTTCTCTCCTTTCTATTTGATGTCGTTAGCATGAAACTGCACCTTTAGTATTCTCGGACCATATGTCATTGTAATACAGTCTTTCGATTAAGAGTTATTTTATTTCAAGTACTATTGATAGTATTTTTGAGTAAAACTTACATTTAAATACATGAACCTTATTTATTTTCCTTATATTTATTTTCAACGTTATATCGGAATAATTTCTACCAGAAAATACTTTAACTGCTGTATAAAAACATGAAAGGAAGTGTTTTAGTATTAGTTTTATTATTTTTAGACATTACAAAAAGTGATCGTGTAGCAAAATTTAGTCTCTTAATGCCGAATGTGAAACCAACTACTGTAAGTTAAACACTCATTCTGATAATAAATAAGTAATTCCAATTTTATGGATCAAATTATAATCAAAATCAATATTACACCACATTTTTTTTTATTTAAAAGCGTAAAAATATTACATTCCATGTTTTCAAGATGATCTTATCACGTCTCGAATATATTCAACTTTTATATACGATAATGCTTATGGATATATTCACACCTTCAATCGAATTTAAAGATATCAAATCAAAATATTACCTTCGATTATTTTTTAATCTGCGAAAATTTTAGTATGAATGAAAAATTTATCCAATAACATTTTATTACGTGAACAAAACAATAGTACGTATACATTGCACTTCTATCGTGATAAGTTTTATTTTACAATGCAAGTGAAGATCTACTTAATTTTTTTACACTTTTTAAAGAAACTTTAACTTTGTAATTGAAACATAGAAGGAACTTGATAAACTGTTACTGTAAAAGTATCGTGTTTAACTCTCGTTTAAAACAATATTTTATATGGTCATTTTAACATAACTAAAGCACTCAAAATCTTATAGCTATTTCTATTTTAACGTTATAGTTCTGTTAATTAATAATAATAATAGTCAGAACTCAAAGTAACCTTAAAGATCCATTTTATCTCAAAAATTTAAGTAAATCAACTATGCAAAATGTGTTATTAGTTGATTACACAAAAAAATTCGTAATCGTAGAATTTTTGGAATTTTAAATCAATCCACTACTTGACTTACAAGTCTCTAAGTAAATTAATATTAGCATGAATTATCTGAGTATGCATATTTAATGCTCGCTAATGAAAAATACTGAAGAACTGACTTATTTACGTATTCTTATGGAAGTTAACAGTCTTTCAATGGAATCCGTAATTATATACACGCTTGTAAATGCACATACATGCATGCAGATACATCGTCATAATGACCATTGAACTAGTTTTTTTGTTTCACATTAGTAAACTTATACATTTCGGAAAGTTCTGATCTGACTTTCAAATTTTAAAAAATTTTATATGTATATAGCATTGTAAATCATGAAAACCCTTTATTTTTTTTCTTGATGCAAAAAGTTAGTACTTTGTATCAAGGTCTGATAAAATTTGATTTTCTTCAAATGTTTAGAAAGTCTTATCCAGAATCACTATTTTTTTAAACTCTTAATCATGATTATTCTAATAAGTAATGCATTGTTAATAGAAAAAAAGTTTATTACATAAATTATGCCCGATTCTTTAGCATGTTAACATTATTAGGTTTAGTAATAAAAACTGTATTATTGCTACGCAAATTAGATGAAAGTATAAGATTTTTATAAAGTTGTCTTCAAGACAATGTATGAGTTGTATGAATATATTTTTCGTATCTAAATAAAGTAAGAGTTTTCAAGTTATTTAAACCAAAAATTGTTTCCACCAGTATTGTTTGATAATTTTAATGATGATTAAAATATTTAACATAAGATAAAAACTAAAACACAAGATACGTTTTTTTTAAAGTAAATAATTATTCAGAGCCTCAAAGAAAGATATACGGATTATTCTACAAAAGATGGCATATTTTATAACATAAAGGACCAGAATGGATAAATAAATTGTACAAAAATTTTTTTTGTATTGTCTGTGACCAAAGTCAGCTAAAGTTTTTGGACCCTGCTAAATCTACACGAAAAAAAATATTTACGACGATTTTCTTTTCTTATAAAAAAAAATTGGAGTGTTACGGGTTCTTATAAAACCTCATTGTGTATAACTAAAATAAAGGTGTACTTTAAAAAAATTGGACTTCGTCCTTACAATTTATATTTGCACAAGTTATTATCCAAGTCGATAATTCAACTTTAAACGAAAAGATACAAAGCATTACGGAATAGCGTTACAGGCTCTTAGCAAAAAAGAAGCGTTACGATCTTTTATAAAATCGTTAAAAAATTCACGTTATAACGCACCACATGACAATCAGCTTATTGACTGAACCCATATCATATACGATACACCTATATTTTAACCTATCACCTTTGGACATACTTCAACATCTCACGAAATTACACTGGATTCTTTAGCTTTACGGGTTGTTAGTTTTTATACTAAAGAGCTCGAATTTAAAAGTTTGTAAGCCTGTAGCACTGATTTTTCGTAATGAAAAATCGGAAAAAATTTATGTTACATCCTTAGCCTTCGTAAAATACAAAACGCTTAATTAAATTTTGTGCATTTGTGAGAGCGTTTTTCCTAGAAATGTTAAATCTTTAAAATTTCGATGCCACAGCTTCAACAGCACCAAAGCCTTGTATACATTTTTGTTAATTCTCTAAAATATATCAAAATGTTGTGTACGTTCGTAACTTTAAGATCTCAAGCTGTAGAAAAATTAAAAATTCGTAGTCACCTGGCGTTGTTAAAACTGTAAATGTGTGAAGGAGACACGAGCACACAACGCCAGTTTAGTCCTTTTTTGTATCTCAAACTAAAGGAATACTTTTTCATTATTTGAATTCTGATGTACCGTCAACCGAATATTTTTACAAGTTTTTAGATCAAGTTCTGCTTAAATGACGTTGTAATTGACTATAGCATGAAATTGATCGTTTGTGACAGAATAACCCAACTTGGTCGGATATCGTAAATGGGAAAAGATGTTTTTTAAAGTAAATTTTTTGAAAGCCTAAAACCGTATGGAAGTTCACATTAATTCACACTAATTAGCTTAGTTAAATGTTTTAAATACCTGTTTCAAAAGTTATAAATCAGTAGCAGTTATATTTATTATGTTTTTACTGCTTCCAGCCAGAATCGTACCTATGTACCCCCTTCAAAGTGGATACAGCAAATACTTACTATATTGTTGGATTTGAACCAAACGCAACTATGGATACCGCTCACCACATTATTATATACGGTTGTTCTAAGCCTGGAACTGACAAAGTACAATGGGATTGTGGAGAAATGTCAGCTTTGAGTTTCAACTCAATAGAGAATAAAGGAGCATGCCAAGGCGAGTCTGAAGTAAGTAATAATTTAATATCATCCATTTAAACGGAAATTTTAGAAATTTATTTTGTCATTGTGTGTTATAAAAAATGGACAATTCTTTTAGAACGAGGTTCTTTATGCGTTACTTGGGGGGCTGGAATTTTAAAACCGACAGATTTTTTTTTTTTTTTAAAACGAAAGTGGTTTCACCTCTTAAGTTTCCCCCCTTACCCTGTCCCCCTCACCTGCTGTTCTCTATACACTTCCCCTCTCCCCACTATGAATGTATATCTGCCAACCATGCCGTATTACTCTTCTGCACACCATTACCCACCATTGCCCCTCACACTCCCAAGCAATTAATTTTTAAACAAATTTTAATTTTATTTTCTCACAATAATTTTTATTTGACTTTGAATTTTTTTCTTTTACAATTCTAAAAAAAAAAAAAAAAAAAAAAAAAAAAAAAAAAAAAAAAAAAAAAAAAAAAAA